GTCTGCCCTAGAGCGAGTTTTTGGCAAATCTCAGAAAGAAGTTACTTCTCAGCAGGCTAATGAGACGCTACAAGAAGCAGAATCGACGTTACTTAAGAAACAGGCGTTTCTTGAAAAAAAGGTCGAAGAAGAAATTGACAAGGCTCGTAAATACGGAAAGAAGAATCAGAAAGGTAACATGACTTTTGGCCTAAGGTCGCGCAAATATAGCCGCTATTGAGTGTTTGAAGAGGTCAAAGCGATACAAGAAACAGCTCCAGCAGATTGATGGCGTTCTGATGACGATTCAAGGGCAAAAAATGGCCCTAGATGATGCCTACATGAATAAGAGCATGTTAGAGGCTATGGCGACTGCGAATAAAGCAATGAAGGGAATTCACAAAAATCTGTATGCGTAATTTATGTCTCGTTATTTGTTTAGCAATGTTGACAAAGTTCAGGATATGATGGATGATATAACTGAGCAGCAGGATATTGCCAGGGAAATAGCGGATGCTATTAGTAAACCGTCTGGTGCAGTGGATTATGATGATGATGAACTGCTTGAGGAGCTCGAGTTGCTCGAGGTAACACAATTCTATTTCATTCTAACTTGACATGCATGTTTATATTACGATTGTTCTTTTTGGCTGAAACATATTTAAAGTTGTTATTTCCTTGCCAACATCTTCATTTCTAAGGAAGTAGATGTGCTGAAAGTGGTTTTCCGTCACATTATATTATTCCATGTAGTTAGTTAGCATACGGTTCGCGTATACTATACTACTAGCAACTCCTTTGTCCCATTGAAATGGCACCACGCCTCGACAGTATGGCAATGCATGACTGTGATTATTTCAATTTGTACTTTTCCAGTACAATCGGCATATCCAGAACAACAGGTTCCACACAAGCAGCTAAACGTATTCCTATTTGCAAGACCTTAATATTTGAATTTCGCATAGTTAAAATGCGACCTGATAGGAAATTGCTTGAACCGAATTTCTTAATATATAGCTACCACTGCATCCTTTGCTTCCACGATTGTTGTCGGACTTTCGCTTCT